AGAAGTAGAAAAAGAAGTACAAATATAGCCAGTGTTAGCAGAATAAAGGAAATAACAAATAGTAGAAATAAATGGGATAAAGATCAGAAAAGCAATAGAAAAATATCAATGAAACTAAAGCTGGGGTTTTTAAAGAATAAACAAAGTGATAAATCTTTACCTAGACTAAAAAAAAAAAGAGACGAGGGGTGCCTTGGTGGCTCAGTCGGTTGAGTGACTTCGGCTCAGGTCATGATCTCGCAGTCTGTGAGTTCGAGCCCCGCGTTGGGCTCTGTGCTGACAGCTCAGAGCCTGGAGCCTGTTTCAGCTTCAGTGTCTCCCTCTCTCTCTGCCCCTCCCCCGCTCATGCTCTGTCTCTCTCTCTCTCTCTCTCTGTGTCAAAAATAAAAAATAAACATAAAAAAATTACAGAAATTCTATGAAATTATTTTAAAAAAAAGAGGAGGAATAATCCTATAACCTTAACCCTTAACCTCATTTTATGATCCCAACATTATGCTGATACCAAAGAGTGGTAAGAACACTACATGAAAATTATATACCAATGTCCCTGATTAATACAGACGCAAAAATTCATAATAAAATATCAGCAAGTCAAAATCATTAAGGGATCATCTACCATGACTAAATGAATATTGTCCCTACAAGGACAGTTCAACATACACAAAGCCACAAATATGATGCACCACGTTAATATAAGATAAAAAGCATATCATCTCAAAGATGGAGAAAAAGCGTTTGAAAAAATACAACATCCTTTTTTAAATAGTCAACACTTTGGGTATAGAAGGAACTGACCTAAACATAATAAAGCCAGAAATGAGACATCCACACTTAACATCAGTCAACAATGGAAGGTTAAAATAATTTCCAAGATCAAGAGCAAGACAAGAGTGTCCATTCTCACCATGCTTATGCAACATAGTAGTGGAAGCCCTAGTTAGAATAATTAGGCAAGATAAAGAGGTAAAAGGCATCTAAATCAGAAAGGAAGAAAGAAAACTGTCATTATTGCAGATGATATATTCTTATATCTAGAAAGTCCTAAAGACTCAACCAAAAATCTATTGGAACTAATCAAGAAATTCAGTAAACTTGCAGTACTTAGAATCAACATACAGAAAGCAGTTGCATTTCTATACACTAACAGTGAAACACCTGAAAAAGAAGTAAAAAATATTATACCATTCACAGTAACATTAAAAACAATAAAATGCTTAGGAATAAATTTAACCAAGGAAGTAAAGATCTGTACTATTAAAACTAAAATACATTGAAGAAATTAGAGAACACACCAAAAAAATGGAAACATATCCCATGTTCATGAACGGAAATTAATATTCTTCAAATGTCCATACTACCCAAAGTCATCAATAGATTGAAGAAAATCTCCATCAAAATTACAATGACATTTTTTACCAAAATAGAAAAAACAATACTAAAATTTGTGTGACACTTCAAAAGACCTAAGCCAAAGGAATCTTGAGAAAGAACAAAAGTGGAGGCATCACACTCCTGATTCCAAGCTATACTACAAAGCTATACTAAACACAAGTATGGGTCTGTCATTAAAATAGACACATAGCTGGGAGCCTGGGTGGGTCAGTCGGTTAAGCATTGGCCTTCGGCTCAGGTCATGATCTTGCAGTTTGTGAGTTCAAGCCCCATATCTGGCTCTGTGCTGACAGCTCAGAGCCTGCAGCCTGCTTCGGATTCTGTGTCTCTCCCTCTCTCTGCCCCTCCCATGATCATGCTCTGTCTCTCAATAATAAATAAACATTTTAAATATTAAAAAAAAATAGACACATAGGTCAGTAGAATAAAATAGATTGAGAAATCAACTCCCACCTACCATGTCAACTACAAGGGAGCCAAGAATACTCAGTCGGGAAAGAACAGTCTCTTTAATAAATGGTTTTGTAAAACCTGGATTATCAAATGTGTAATAATAAAACTGGACCAATACCTTTTACCACTCACAAAAATTAACCCTAAATGGATTAAAGATAGGAATATAAGACCTGAAACCATAAAACTCCTAGAAGAAAAGATAGGGAACAAGGTCCTTGACACTGGTCTTGAAAACGATTTTTTAGATCTCACACCAAAAGCACAATCAACAAAAGCAAAAGTCAACAAGTGAGGCTACATCAAATTAAAAAGCCTCTGCACAGCAAGAGAACGATTAACAAAATCAAAAGGCAACTTATCTGTAAACCATATACTTAAAAATATTTACCAACCACGTATCTCAGATAGGGGTTAATATCCAATATATAAAAAGAACTCATACAACTCAAAAACAAAACAATCTGATTAAAAAATGTGTAGAGGAACCAAATAGATATTTTTCCTAGAAGACACCCAATTGACAACAGGTACATTAAACAAATATCCAACATCACTAATCATCAAGGAAATGCATATCCAAACCACAATGAAGTATCAGCTCACACCTGTTAAAATGACTATCATCATAACAAGAGATCATAAGTAGTGGTGACGATTTAGAGAAAAGGGAACACCTGTACACTGTTTGTGGAAAGGTAACTTGGTTTAGCCACTATTAAAAACAGTATGGATGTTCCTCAAAAGATTAAAGAACTACCATAGGATCCAGCAACCCCACTTCTGGGTATACACTCAACAGAAATAAAAACAGGATACCAAAAAGATAATCTCCACTCCCGTGTTTATTGCAGCATTATTCATAATAGGCAATATATGGAATGATAAAGAATTATAAAGAAGACATGGTGTTGACACACAGCACAGTGGAATATTACTCAACTACAACAGTGAAGGAAATCTTGCCATTTGAGACAACATGAATGGACCCCGATGGCATTATGCCAAGTGACATAAATCAGACAAGGACATAAACTGTATGATAGCACTAATATGCAGGATCAAAAAGCCAAACCCATTGAAACAGAGAGTCCAATGGTGGTTACCAAGACCTGGAGAGCAAGGAAATAGGAGAGATGTTTTTTGAAAGGGTACAACCTTGGGGCGCCTGGGTGGCGCAGTCGGTTAAGCGTCCGACTTCAGCCAGGTCACGATCTCGCGGTCCGGGAGTTCGAGCCCCGCGTCAGGCTCTGGGCTGATGGCTCAGAGCCTGGAGCCTGTTTCCGATTCTGTGTCTCCCTCTCTCTCTGCCCCTCCCCCACTCATGCTCTGTCTCTCTCTGTCACAAAAATAAATAAACGTTGAAAAAAAAATTTAAAAAAAAAAAAAAGAAAGGGTACAACCTTGCAACTAAAAGATAAATAAATATGGAAATCTAATGCACAGCATAATGATTATGAGGTGCGCCTCCTACTGAAGCCCTCATGGTTCCTTAGGAAGCCTTCTCATACATCATCACACACTTTTAAAGAACAATGCTTCAAAGAACATACCTAAGCTTGCACAGTGGGGAAGGGGAGCACACATCTTTTATTCACACTGCACTACTTCCTTGGTATGGGGTAAGACCTCACATTCTCTCCCAGAGATTCAATGATTCCCCTTCTCTCAATCCCATTCATTTGCAAACTCATGAAAAATTTGGCAAAGGCTTCAAATGCCTCTTCATTTATAATCTTTAATTAAAGAGAACAATTATGTGACTCATCAGAATTAAGACCCCCCCCCCCCCCCAAACAGCAATGAGAACCCAATGAATCTCCAAGGTTAATATGTCATTTGTAATGACATATGTTTTATATCAGTTGGTTCAAGTCTGAGCAATCTGGCAAATCAGCAGCCAGTATTGTTACACATCTTGTTCCCTTTTCAAACAGATCACAAGAACCAAAAGCTTTATGTTCTACTTTACACAAAGAAAACTGGCCAAAGTTAAAAACCCTGCCTCTCCCACTATTATTTCTTCTCTGGCTCTTGAGGCTTCCTAGAGAATATCAGCATTAGAATAACTCTAACCATCTACTCCATGCATTATATCACCCCATACAACACCATAAATCTCTAGGACATAAAATGTTTAACATAGAAAATAAAAAGAATATATATCAGCTTTCCATATTTGTTCTTAGTCTGCAATATTTATAATTCAGTAACTCTATTCCTACAATGAATTTTCACACAAGTCTCCTCACACCAAACATAAACAGATGCTTGAAATATCAGAAATGATTTGAGAGTGCGAAACACTGGCTATGTCAGACAAGGGTAAATTTTCCACATTTAATGGGAGAAAGAGGCTTGAGTCCCACAATATAAAAAACTGATATTGTCTATGACATGGATTTTGAACATCATCTCCCATCAGAAATCCCCACTGAAACTAGAAGCAAGAAACTAAACCATCAGACTCCTAAGAAATGGTAAGGAAGGGACCACATCCTTCATTCCAATCCTCTTTAGGATTCAAATCACCTTTTCCTTCAGAAGATTATAGCTGGTAGAGACTGGAATGTGACCAAATTTATGGGATGATTAGTTCTGAAAGAGGCCTTAGACAAACAGTAGCTATATCAGACTCTTCCCGGGAGACACAACCAGGCTAATCGTATAGCTTTATTTCTGTTCAAAGGCACATCCTCTCTCTCCGTTTATTCCCACTATGGCAGAAACACACAACAAACATCAATCACCATCATGTCTGGATTACGCCACATCAAAATATTTGGGACACAAGTTCTCCATATTCTTGGGGGCCTCTGTCAGATATCAGTCCTTTACAATCAGAGGTCTGAGACTGAGCAGGGCTCAATCTCCAAAGCAAAAGGAACTAACGAGTTTCTAAACCTTAACATTTTACAAATACTTGCAGATTATTTATAAATGATGATGACATTCCCCATGTACAGTGAAAGTATGAACCTCCTCCGGACTTAAAGACATTGTGTTTGTGTGGAGTCAAGTCACCATCAGTCCATTTGGCATATTAATCTGTGTCAAACTAAGCTTTCTTTATACAAAGGCGATATTATAGTCCATTTATTTGCATATTCTTAGGAGTTAAGCTTTCTGATAGGACAAATCTGGACAGAACCTCAGCAGTACCATCTCTTCTTCTGTAAACTCCTCAAGGCATCTTTGATTTCCTTGTTCCTCAGACTGTAAATCAAAGGATTCAACATGGGGATGACCACGGTGTAGAATACTGATGCAAATCTGTCAAAACTGGAGGAACCGCCAGAGCTGGAACTCAAATAGACAAAGACACTCGAGATATAAAAGAGGGAAACTGCTGTTAGATGAGAAGCACAGGTGTTGAAAGCCTTGGACCTGCCTTTAGCTGA